ATGTGTCATTTTTCTTTTGCCACTTTAAAAATTTTCTCTTGATTTCAACATTTTGATCATGATAGGCCTAAGTTTCAATCTCTTTATATTTATCCTATTTGGGACTTGCTGAAATTCTTGAATGTAATGAGTAAAGAAAATAAAAATTCTTTCTTATGCAACCTCAAAGCTGCTTTTAACCTCTCTACTGAATTGTATGCTTGTCAACTCCAGAATTTCCATTTGAGATATATACCTTTGTCTATCTCCATCTCTAGCTCCTGAAAATTTCTATTTGTTTATTCATTGTCATACTTTCCTCTAATTACCCAACTATGGTTTTCTTTAGTATTTGAACATTTTTAAAATAGCTGCTTCAAGTCTTTGTGAAATCTAACATCCAGAGACACTTAGATAGTTTCCATTGGCTTTTCCTTCCCTGAGTATGGGTCATACATTCCAGTTACTTTGCGTATTTCGTAATTTTTGTTGAAGATCGGAAATTTTGGATAATGATTTCACTATAAAAATTATTTTTGTTGTTTTATTGTTTATTTGCATCTTTGGCTGGGCTCTCTGATTTCTTGCTGTCCCACGGTGTATAGCTGTTGATGTGTCTGCTATGAAAATGTTTATAGCTTTTATTTTTTTAAGACTGGCTCTCTAGGTTTTTCTTTCTCTATCTCTATAACTTAGTGATTGGCCAATGATTAGACACAGTTTGGGCTCAAACACCTCAGGCTAATAAGGCTTCTATTGCATGGGGGAGGGCATTCAAAATTCAGGATATAGTTACATCTACCCCAGCATTTGCTTTCCACTGGGATTTTTTCATGTGTGTTTTCTTTTTCTTTCTTTTTTTTTTTTTCTGGTGCAAAAAAGGTGGTTTTATTAAAGTACAAGGACAGGACCTGTGGGCAGAAAGAGCTGCTTCATGTGTATTTTCTAAGTGCTTGTGCACGGTCTTATGCAGCTAAAACTTTGTGAATTGCTTGGTCCCTCTTTGCTCTCTGCTGCCCATGTGTGAAAACTCAGCCAGAAATAGGCTTGCCTCAACCATGCTATAACTTTAGGCCACTATCCTTACTCTTATTGAAGATCATGACAGCCACTGAAAACATCTCTGGAAATGATTGTTGCCTACTACTCTAAATTACTTTAATAAAGACAGTGCAGTTCCTGACCCTCATAGCCTGCCTTAGGAAGGTAGACCCTCCATACCAACCAAGCAACAGAAATGAGATGGGAGTATCCCTGAACAAGAACATCACAGACCCCCCATTGTTCCAGTTAAAAATTTAGCAGTTTTTCAAGCGCACATGCTTGTCAGAGTGACATAGGCTAGTCAGAGTGACTCAATTTCCAGAGTGCTATAACGGTTGTTTTGGTCAATTTTGTCTCAATTTATAGTTGTTTTTTGGATAAAGGATTTGCTGACCTCCTTATTCAGCCATAACCTTAGGTGCTACCTCTCAGGGTAATTTTATATTGATTTCAAAACCAGACAAGAATAATTAAAAAGAGAAAAGTATACACTCGTTTTACTTATGAAAATAGTTTCAAATTTTCTAAATGAAATACTAACTATCCAAATTCAACAGTGTATTAAAAATGTATTATGGTTAAGTATGATTTACCCTAAGAAAATATTAATAGTTTAACATAAGCAAATTTATCAAGAAATTTATTACATTAATAGACTGAAAAAGAAAAATCAGAAAATTATTTTAACAGTTGTAGAAAAGACATTTGGTAATGATCAAAAGAGATTCAGGAGATTAAGAACAGAAAGGAATTTTCTAAACTTGCTAAAGTTTATTTATAAAACACCTACAGTAAGCATAGTTAATGGAGAAACTCTAGATATATTCCTTTTAATATATGAAGAGAGGGCAAGCTGATATTCATTATCATCACTACTGTTTAACTATGGAATTCTAGATCCTGGCCAATGATATAAGAAAAGAAAAAGAAATAAAGGAGTGAGAAAATGGAAAAGGAAGTTATAAAACACCTATTATCTCCTTTTATGCAGATAATGTGATCAACTACCAAGAAAAAAAATGATAGAATTAATAAACTATCAGAATCAACACAAGATATCATAAAGCTGTTCAATGTAAGATCAACCTGTAGAAATCAATAGAATTTGTCTATACCAACAATAACCAGATAGAAATACCATAAACAACAAAATACCAAACAAAATATCAATAAAATGACAAATTTTCTAGGTATTAGCAAAAATTATAAAAATCTGTGGAGAATACTTAATAGATTTCATAAAGTAGACAGAAATTATTATGAATTAATGATAAGGTATTCTGTGTTCTTGAGTTGGGCAAGCTAATATTATAAAAAGGTCAATTTTACTCAAATTAATTGATAAATTCTTTGTATCCCTAATCACTTTGGGTTCCCAAACTCAAGTTGGATTTTACATAAACTCAATAAACTTTTTATTTCTAGTATATGGGAAAATATATGTCTATGTATAGGTAAGTGAACTTGGAAAAAGATGAATTAAGAAAGGGGACCTGCCTTATTAATTATTAAAGCAATGAGCTCAACTGAACAGACTAGGGAACTCAGAAGCACACATATACACACATATGAACTTAATATCCTACATAGTTGGCAACCTACATCAACGAGAAACATTGAATAAATGAATCAATCAATTTAAAAAATAAAATTCTCTACATGGACCAAATACATTAAAGATTATGAGGAATTGGACTATGGGTGATAAAAATGAAAATGGTGAAAAAAAGTCATATTTGAGATAGACTTTGGAGACAATACCAATGAGAGTTGTAAATGGATTGGATATTAGAGTTGGAAAGTGAAAAAATGACATACTAGTGAAGAAGAAATTGACGATGCAAGTGAGAAAGGCTGTCTGTAGGAGGAAAATTCTTGAACAGGAAGAGCACCTTATTCTGAAAGTGAGCATCAGGGTTGATTTTTGATGGGAGGAATCTAAGCAGAGAAAGTAGTAGATTTTTCTCTCTTATGGGGGAAAGTAACAACAAAAATAGTGTAATAACATGAACTCATTCAAACACAAACAAGTAAAAGTCTAAACAGAAATTACCCGAAGGGCCTGCAGCCAAATATGGACTACCTTAATTTGTAAGTACATTCCTAGGTAGCAAAACAAGTAATCATGACTTAAGAGGTAAAAATTATAACTCAGGCACAAAATGATAACAGAAAGGTATAATGTTTTAGAATTCCAAAATTTTATTTCTTAAAAATCTTATATGATTAAAATTCAACATTTACATCTGACTAGCAATATTTAGAAATAGTTTTGTTAGAATTGGTATGTATGTGTATTTCATTTTTTCATTTGTCATTGGTTTGTGTTTTATATCTTAAAACATCATTGATCAGTTTCTCATGAAGGAAAAAGATGGGGAGGAGAGGGTGGAGAAGGAGAATAGACCTTAGTGAATGAGCCTCTCTCTAAATGTGACAGCTAAAGGCAGAATTGGAACTTACCAGGAAATTTTCTGATCTTCAGAGATTTTGTAGAGCACAGAAGCTGCTCGCTGTTGCTCAGATAAAGCATTTGCAGTGACTGACGAATTGAGCGGTGACTGTGTTATTGTTTTAAAAGTGAAACCAGTTGAGGGCGCCTGGGTGGCTCAGTTGGTTAGGCGACTGCCTTCGGCTCAGGTCATGATCCTGGAGTACCGGGATCGAGTCCCGCATCGGGCTCCCTGCTCAGCGGGGGGTCTGCTTCTCCCTCTGACCCTCCCCCCTCTCATGCTCTCTCTATCTCAGTCTCTCTCTCAAATAAATAAATAA